CAGCCTCCCCTTGGCCCTTCCTCTTCCCGCCAGTCTCCGACCCCGCCCTGGCCGGTCAGTGTGCATGGTGCGGGCAGCTCCCCACCAGGCACAGGTGGGGGAAACTGGGGCAGGGTAGGGTCAGGCCAGCAGCGAGGCTAAGCTCTCTGGGCCGTGGCTTGTTCATCTGCTGAATGTGCTGACGGGGATGGTTAGAACTCACTGAGCCGGGACTAAGAGGTGTGGGTGAAAGGACATGAGGGGGGCATGGATCAGGGGAGGTGTGGGAGATCAGGGGAGGGAGTGCTGGGGAGTACGGATCAGAGGAGGGCACTGGGGAAGGTGTGGATGCGGAGGCCGCAGGGGTATTGATCAGGGAGTCGGCATCGACCAGGAGGAGCAGGCCTGCGGGCGGACAGCACACACCCGGCAGCAATCATTAAGGCAGAAGTGCTGACCGGGCTAGAATCAGAGATGAGTGGCCTCTGCTGAGCTGGGGGGTGTGGGGGGTGGAGGGAGCAGGAGCCTCTCACCTGGGGTCCACCCAGGGACTGGGCAGGGCCAGTGGGCTCCTCCCAGAGCCCCTCCCCAGACCCAGACTGCAACCCCCCCCCAGGCCACACCCCTTAGTGCTTCTCTCCCACGTTGGTCGCTGGCTGCACCCTGTGCCGGGCAGCATGTTCTAGCTGGTCCCCGCCCCCGACTGCCCCCCCTCGGGTGTGCCCCCTATCCCATCCTTGGGGCCTAGAGTGGCTGTGACAGTCAGTGAAGGGACCCTGAGATGGTGGGGGCGGGGCGGGGGAGACAAGGCAGCAGGAGGGTTCGGTGGCTGGGCCCCTCCACCTCCTGCCAGAGGGGCTGTGGGGAAGGATGTCCCCTCCATGAGCACTTGGCGGGGGAGAGGGTGGCTGTGGGGACCCTGGGCTGGGGGCCCAGTGGGGGACCCCGAGCAAGTGGCTGGGCTGAGAATTCGGGGTGGCGGTGGGGATCCCTAGAAGGAGCAGAGCCAGCCCTGCCATCATCCTCAGGAAAACAGTTACAGCCCAGCCTTCCCCAGGCTGAGTGGTGGGGGCACTGGTGAGGGCTTAGGGGGCCCAGGAGAGGAAGACCCCTCCAGGACAGGGCAGACGGACTCCTGAGAGCCTCCACGGGCCGTGAGGGAGGGGGCTGGCCAGGCCCACCCCCCAAAAGGCCCAGATTCAACTAGGGCAGTCTGGCTGGGCCCCCAGGGAACCAGTGTGTGGCCAGGGTTCCTGGGCTGGGTGGGGTGTGGAGATGCTCCAGCCCCAGCCTATGGACTGCCGTCAGGGTCTCCCTCCCCCTCGAGGCCCCCACTCTGTGCCGTGAGCTGATCTGCTGGGGGTGCCTGAGCCAGCTTCTCTCAACCACGAGGCCTGGGGCTGGAGGGCAGATAAAGTGGTGGGGGCCTCTGGGGCAGACCCAGCTGTGAATACTTCCCTGTTCCCCATGACCCCTGACCCCTCAGCTGAGGGCGGTGTTCCCCTCTCGCCACATCGCTCCTCGCTGCCCTTCCTCCAGCTTGACGCCCCCCCCAGGGACAAACCCCAGTGAGTACACGTGACCCCAGCCCGTCTGCCCCGGCTGGGGGCTGCCTCCGTTCCCCACGTGCCCTGGCTCTGGCTGGGAGGTGTCCCTCCTCCGTGGTCCCTCTGGGCCAGGGTGGGCAGTGGTGGTAAAGGGGACCCATGGCCTGGGTGGGGCATGGGGGGACTGGTTTGGAGGCTGGGGCTGAGTGGATCCCGTGGCCTCTCTATGCCTCAGTTTACCCATCTGTGCAATGGGCTGGTGTGACCCAGGCGGTGGCAGGAGGGGCTCAGGCTGAGCCATGTTCCGGGTGCAGTAGCCAAGAGACCACGCCGGGTGGAAGGGGGCGTCCTGCAGCTGAAGCCAAACGCCTGGGGGCTGGTCCCCTTCCCAGGTTCACTCAACAGCCAGGGGTGCTGACGGCCAAGGGTTGTGCTGGGGAGGGGGCTTCTCCCTGCACCCTCTGCCCTCCCCCCGCCCGGTGGCCGGCCTCCCGGCCCCTACCTGTGCCTGATAAGCGGGCTCCCTCGGTCCTAATCCCATAAAGGAACGGTTTGCAGGGGCCGAGCCGGGCGTAGAGCAGGCTGTGGGGAGGAGAGAGACCGAGAGCCTATTAGCGAGGTGGGGGCACTGGGTCGGGGGCACTGTCCGGGCGGGGGCCACACAGCCGGGCCTTTGCGCCCCCACCCCAGCCAATCCGGCGTCCTTCGAAGCGAAGCCCACCACCCTGGGAGCACAACTGGCCTGCCTGCCAGCAGAGGCCCCGGGGGTACCTGAGCCAGCCAGTGAATTATTCAGTGCCTGCCCTGCCAGCCCACCCTGCGCCCGCCGCCCTGGCGGGGCACCCTGAATTATTAAAGGCATTTTATTTATTAATTTTCCTTCAGGAGTGGGTACGTGGCAGGCAGCCGGCTGGCGGGGGGTCTGCATACAGGGAGTTGCGTTTTAATCTTGCTGATTATACTTGGCCCAGACTGTAAATAATGCATGATGCTGGTGGGGGGGGTGGCGGGGGGGTGAGCGGTAAGAGAGGGGTGGACCTCCTGCAGGCGGAGTAGGGGAAGGTCAGCAGATGCTGGGGTGGGGAGCACCCCAGGCGTGTGCGGGGGAAGGGTAGGGGAGTGATCATGTCCACTCCACAGCTGCTAAGTTTGGGATGGAACCCCGAGTCCTCGACAACGTGACCGGTGCCCCTTTCACAGATGAGAAAGTTGAGACCAGTACCACCGAGACGCCAAGCCCCACACTGCCCAGGACGCTCGCCGACGCCTGCTCTGCCCAGGCTGGCAGGGACCAGCCCACTGTGCCGCTGAGAACAGCCCAGCAGGCTCAGGGAAGGGGAGGCATCTGCCAGGGTCACACAGGAAAAGGAGGGCCGCAGCGGCAGCAGCGGAACTGGGGCCTGGCTCTCTGTGGGAAACCCAAGTGGAGTTCTTTTCAGTCCAAAGGCCCTGGGGTTGGGTAGGTGGGGGTGCTGCTCCCTGGAAACCGCTGCCCCCCCCACCCCCAGGTAAAGTGAGGAGTCTCATCTGGGGGTCCCTGGAGCAAAGGGAGGGAGTCCTGGTGGTAGAGTGGTTATGCACTGGGCTGCCAACTTCAGGGTCAGCAGTTCAAAACCCCTCGCCGCTCCTTGGGAGAAAGAGGAGGCTTTCTTCTCCCACAGAGTTACAGCCCGTGAAACTCACAGAATGGAACAGACTTGAGGGCAGGGCGTCTCTTTGGCTTGGGGCTGTGGTGGGCTACACACAGAGTTGCTAACTGCGAGATCAGTGGTTTGAAACCACCAGGTGGCTCCTTGGAAGAAAGAGGAGGCTGTCTGCTCCCATGAAGACGGACAGTCTCAGAAACCCCCAAGGGCAGTCCTGCTCAGTCCTACAGGGGTGCCGTGAGTCAGGGTCGCCCCGACGGCAATGGGGGAGGCTTCCTGGTTGGGAAGGAAGGGTGAGAAGCAGGTAGAGATGGTGGGGGGAGGCCGCCCAGAGCCATGTCACTGCGGCTGCACACCAACAGTGCTGCCCCTGGGGAGGGGAAGCCGGGGCCGGACCACTGTGGGCCCAGGGGATTCCAGTTGGCTTCAGACGGGGCCTGGGCCAGGGCCCAGCTGGGCAGAAAGATCTAGAAGGTAGGTTCTGAGAGCAGAGTGGAAAATGGGGAGGCCTCCCCGAGTCCTGTGGAGCAGGTCCCAGGAGCCAGCGTCTCGTCTCCCAACTTGCCAGAGCCCAAGAGTCAGCGCGACCACACTCAACATCTGCTCGCATCCGCTGTGCCGGGTGAGGGCCGCCTGGACTGGCTGACCTGGACCCTCACGGCAGGCCGAGTCGGCGCCCTGACCAGGTGGCCCTGGGCTGCATGCCCTCCTGAGACCCACCAAGCTCACCAGTTCCCGCGGGGCTGGGCAGAGGGGTGGGGCGGGAGAAGGCCTGCTGGGGATGCCCGCCCCACCTCGGGCACCGCTCCCCGCGTGCTTACTGGGCGAGGCTGGCGACGTGGCTCCTCCCTCGGAGGTGGTGGTGGGTTTGGCGGTGGGGGGGAGCACCAGCCGCGGCAGCCCTGGGGGCAGCGAAGCCAGCATGTGGGCTGGGGTGCAGTGACTGGGCATTTTGAGCTGACTGCTTCCATTTAACTGGGGGGACAGAGAGACAAGCGGTTAAGGGGGCGGGGCCAGCCCTGCTGGGGTTGGCATGGGGATGGGGCTAAGGCACCGGCCTGGCGGGGACCATGAGCTTGGCGGATCTCAGATCAGCAGACGCCGGGGCCACCCACGCTGTCACACTGTTGGCACTTACAAACAAGCATGGTGGCTGGGGAGTGGGCTCAGGCCCAAGGCTGCCCCACAAACCACATGGGTCCGAGGAGACCTGTGTCTGGGGGAAGGGGCGTCGACTACAGCCACGTTTCCGTAAGTCGCCTGCCAGGCCTCCCTGGTTCCGAGCGGGCTCACAGGGCAGCCGTCTGTCTCAGTGCTCATGCCCCCCCTCCACCAGTGGGCACACGCTTGCTGAATGAAGCCACCGCCACGCCAACTGCTCACCCTCCTGCTGGCGCCCAAGCCACGGTCAGTTCCAAGCCCACAGCGCCCCTTTCTGGACACCAACTGTGGCCTGGCCCAAGCCCCTGTCCAGGGCTGGGTTTCGCCCTGGTTTGTATTGAGAGCCCGGCAGGACTGGCCAGGCTGACGCAGGGCTTCTACCCAGAACCTGGGGGGTTCCTCCTCCGGCCCCCTGCATGGAGGGTTTGCATTTCCACCCCAGCCCCAGAACCACCTGGGCACACCCCTGGGAGCCTCCTGACAAAGGGGGCCCAGCTCATGCGGAATCAGCTGCTGCCCGGGCCAGCACCAACCCCACGGCCAGCTGGGGTCAGGCCCTGCCCACGCGCGCTCACTGGCTGGCTTTCAGCAACCGGTCATCAGGCCTTTCTTCCTCATCTCAGCCTGGAAGCTCTGCTGGATCTCAGTCAGCAGCATCCTGGACCGCTCTACCTGAGCCCCACCTGCCCCTTCCTAGGTCACCTGTGCTGTCAGAGAGTCTGAACTCCGGCCCCCCAGCCCCAAGGGCCCAGATAGGGACAGCGTCCCTGGCGCCCGTCACAAACCCTTCCGGATCAAAGAGCACATTCAAAACCCACGCAGCACAGAGAGGCCCTGCCCCTGCCCGACTCACCGGTCCAGGCTGCTGGCTGGCTGGGTCGCAGGCCAGCGAGACGAGATCTTTGAGCGGGTCCTGCGGGTTGAGATGAGGCGGGTAGCGGATGGCCGTGTGGGGGAAATACGTGGAAGCCGTCTGGGGCAGGATGGACGTTGTGGGGAAGTGCAGGGCCGAGGATGGGTGAGGGCTCCGGGCGATTCCTGCGGACGGAGGTGGGGGTGAGATGGGGCTAGGGTCGAGCCCCTGCAGGGCATGGTGGTCCAGCGTCTCCTCGTGCCTAGGCCTGGGGGTGGGGGTGGGGCACGTCTACTTCTGGGGGCATGTCATCGAGTCAGTGCTGACTCGGGGCGACCCTATAGGACTGGGTAAGTGGCCTCTGAGGGTTTGCGAGACTAACCCTTAACGGGAGTAGAAAGCATCATTGGTCTCCCATGGGCGGCTGGTGGTTTTGAACTGCTGACTTTGAGGTTAGCAGCCCAACGTGAACCCACTACGCTGCCCCCAGGAGCCCTTGGGGGTCTTTCCCGGGAACAACTGAAAAATGATGTCATTTCCGCCAGGGCGTGTCCTCACACTGCCCGGGCTCCCAGGGGCCCTCCCCGACAGAGCAGAGGCTCTCGACCTGCCCAGGAGCAGACAGCCTCATCGTTCCCCCTTGGAGCGCCGGGTGGGTTTGAACTGCTGACCTGCTGGTAAGCAGACGAGGGCTGAACCACGGCGTGCCCCAGGGTTCCTCACAGCACCACCAAGTTGGGGCCTGGCTGTGATTTACGTGCCCCAGACGCACAGGGCTCTGGAATGAGCCACTGGGAACCCTCATTCCACAGGGCTGGAGTGGAGACAAATCCGTTTCTGAAAGCGGGAGATTTGAGCCACCTCCCGAGAACCTAACCTTGGAGAGAAGGGTCTCTGGGGAGATGTGCCGGGGCCCCCGCGGTGTCGCCCCTAAATGCCCTCAGCTCCCTAAAACGAGCCCTGGACCCAGTAAGGATGGACTCTACTTCCACTGAGCTGACGCACAGACACGCTGTGGGATGGAGGAGGACTGGCCTTTGGGTTTCTGAGAACGCAGTCAGCCTCGGCCCTCTCTTGGGAAGCAGTTGGTGGGTTGGAACCCTTGACCTTGTGGGTTAGGAGCCCAGCGCTTAAGTCATGGAGCAACCAAGGCTATTTCCTATAAGCAGGACCAGACCAGACACGGTGTGGCCTTTCCGTCTCTTTCCTCCTGTCCGACGCATGGTTGTGAGGCTCGTCTTGATCGCAAGGCCAGTGGTTTGGGCCCCCCAGGTGCTTTGAGGGCAAGAGAGGAGGCTGTCTGCTCCTGTAAGGAGCCAGGGCACCTAACGTCAACAGCAGCAGCAACATGTGTTCTGCCGGGGGCTTCCAGAACCCCGCCATCTTTCAATTCCGTTGTCCTGCAAACCTTGGACACCCCTCTTATCTGTACCATGTAATTCGGAGGTCTTCCCATCACCCTGAAAGTAAGGGTGCCCAGGCCGCAATGGCGGGAAGTGCAGTTGGGCTGCTAACCACAAGGTCAGTGGTTCAAACCCACCAGCCGCTCTGAGTGGGGGAGGGAACATGAGGCTGCCTGTTCCTGTAGATTGATAGCCTGAGCATCTCTAAAGAGGGTTGCGATGCATCTGGATCTACTCAAGGGCACTATGTGGATGACTCAAAGAAGCCTGTATCTGCAGGCAGGCACTGCCCTGGCCCAGCCCCCACCCCCAGTCAGTCTAGAAGCATCTTGGGCTCTGCTGGCTGTGCCCACCCTGCTGGGTGACTACAATCAGCCACCGCAGCACCAGCACCTCTGTGTGGACACCGGGGGTAGGGTGCTCCCGAAACCTCATGGAAAGGTGAGATTACATGATGGGATTTCCCCTGAGACTTTCGGCAGGCTTCTGTGTGTACAGAAACGGGCTACGTGCTAATAAAACTTTATTTGTAAACACAAGTTGAGGGCCATCAGGCCTGCCTGTCTCCTTCTGTGGATCATGTGGTCTCCAAGGGCCTCCCATGTGACACTCTGGGCCCCTTGCCCCTGGGGGCAAGTGCGACCCTGCTGGATCTCTGGCCTCTCCTTGCACAGAATGGGAGACTGAGGCCCAGAGGGCAGAGCACGAGGCTGCAGGTCAGACAGTGGGCAGGACTTCCGGGGCTCACTCACCGCTGTGCACAGCGATGACAGGCCGGTGGTGCTGCGTGAAGCTGGAGAGGCGCGGCGAGTCCTGGGGCGACGGGCTGTTGAACGGGGACTTGTCCATCTCTGCCTTCTTCACCGGGGACGAGATGGCTGTGGGGCCAGGGACCAGAGGGTCAGAGACCAGCCAGACCGTGGCCACGCTCCCCACGCCCGTGTTCTAAGTGCCCGCCCCAACCCAAGGTCTGCCCTGCAGCCCCCTGGGTCCAAAAACTTTACCCCAAACACACTGGGGTGGGGTCACCTCCGACTCAGGTGACCCCAGGTTACAGAGCAGAGTTGCCTCGCTGGGCTCTGGGTACCTTTCTAGGGGCAGCTTGCCAGCCCTTTCTTCTGCAGTGCCACCGGGTCGGGTCGGTTCAAGCCATCAGCCATTTGCCCCATTTGGGGACCCTCCTCACCCCCCAGTCCCCGCTCCTGCTGTCCCCAACCCTTCCAGGAACCTCCCCACATACTGGCTCTTAGCATTCGCACAGTGGGGGGGGGGGGCTCCGAGCACTTTGGACATCACTCCACCTACTCTCGTCCTCTGGACGCCCATGCCACAGAGGGCAAACTGAGGCTCGGAGCAGAGAGGGGTGGGCACAGCCCCACCTTCCCTTGGGCCAGAGAATTGGGCCATGCAGAGCCGCCCCTGCCTCTGCCTCCCATGACAGGGGCTGGGGATGTAGGTACCAGTGTCCCTGGCTGACCAAGGAGGGATCTGAGCAGGTGAGGAATGTTCTGGAAGGCCAGGCCAGCTAGGCCTGGAGGCTGAGCTGCCTCCAGGATGCTACTCAGTGGCCTGTGAAGCTTGGCCTTGGTGGCCTTGGTGGCCAGGCCTGAGCCCCCCTGGGACGGGGTTGCTGGGGAGACAGGGAGGGCTGCCCCTCCTGTGAGTGGGCACAGCGTGAATGCCTGCAAGTGTGTGTGAATGTGTGTGTCTGTGAGTGTGTGTGAATGAGTGTATATATCTGTGTGTGCGATTGAGTGTGTGTGTCTGTGTATGCGATTGAGTGTGTGTCTGAGCGTGGGGGTGAGTGTGTGAGTGTGTATGTCTGTGTGAGTGAGCGTGTGTATGATTGTGTGTCTGTGTGTGTCTGAGCGTGGGGACGAGTGTGTGTGAGTGTCTATGTCTGTGTGAGTGTGTCTGAGTGTGAGGGTGTGTCTGTAGGTGAATGGATGTTACCTATCTGTTTGTCTAAGCTTAGAAGTGAACCTGTGTGTGACGGAGTGTATGTGTCGGAGTGTGGAGGTAAATCGTGTGTGTGTGTGTGTGTGTGTGTGTGTGTGAGTGTGGGGTGGTAGGAGCCCTGGACAGACCCACTCCTGCAGGCTCCACCCACCCCTGCAAGGGCTTGCTCTGTGCACACCCTCCCTTGGTTCTACAGGTTCAATATGTCCTGGGGGGAAGGGGTGTGTCTTATGCACGGGGGTGGGGGGTGGGGGTGGGGCCTCAGTGGCATCTCTGCTCCTGGAAACCAGCAACACGCCCTCCATGTCATCACCACAGATGTCCCCACACGGGGCAGAGCCACGTGACTGTGTCGTCTGCACACCTGTCCAGGAGGAGATTCCTAAGCCACCCCGTCCTACGGAGCCCTGGTGGTGCCGTGCCTCAGTAACTATCCGGCTGCCAGGTCGGGGTTCGAGCCCTGACAAGGCCACTCTGGAGGGCAGCCCTGGGACCTGCTCCTGCAGACGACAGCCCGGGGACCACACAGGGCAGTGCCACTCCCTCACACGGGCCCAGACGGAGCGTGAGGCTGGGGTCACAGAGCCAGAGCAGTACAGCCAGGATTCGGACCCCCTCCCCGCCAGCTCACAAAGGGACAGGGGAGCCCCGATAACAGAGAGAGGCTGGGGGGAGTGCTGGGCCAGGAGCGTGCCTGCCCCAGCCCCCTCCCCCTCCAGGATCCCCACTCCCCCCTGTCCCTCTGACTGCTCCCCCTTCCCAGCCCAGCCCTGCCATCCTGAAGTCTGTCCCCAGAGGCCACAGGGTGACACAACTCAGACCAGAGCCCCTTGGCCCCAGGGTCCCTCCCAGAGGTATTTTCCCAGATAAAGCCCATTTCCCTGCGGCCTCCAGGGCCTTGCACTGTCCCTCGCCCCTCCTCCTCCTCTCCTCCTCCCCCATCACTCCAGCCAGCCACCCGGGCCTCCAATTCTCCAGGCCTGGTCCTGCCCCAGGGCCTTTGCTCGGGCTGTGCTCTGCCTGGGCCACCCTTTCTTATCTTTCACCTTCTCTGCAGAAAAGTCGCCCCAGACCAACTGCAAAGTCAGCCGCTGTGGAGCCGGCGGGACCGGGGTGCTTGTCCAGGACAGAGCAGAGCTGCCCCTAGGGCCCCCGAGACTGTCACCTTTTACAGGACCAAGCCGCCTCCCTCTCCTGAGGGGCAGCTGAAGGGTTTGAACTGGCAACCTTGCGGTGAGACTCCAAGTGCTTAACTGCAGGTGCCACCAGGGCAGGGTGCCCTTTGCCGAGGAGCTGGACAAACCCACCTGTCCCTGGCTGGTAGACCCTGCCACCTGGGACTTTGGCAGGAGGTGCCCATCCCCTGGGGGTGCCCTGGGAGGCGGAAAGGCATTCCAGGCCAGGACACTGGTCCAGGGAGGGACCGTGGGCCAGGCCTGTGGGGGCCCCCAGGGTGGGCGGCTGGCACCGCCCCTCACTGGCTCCCCTGGGTCTCAGCTGCTCCCAGGCCCAGGCCGCAGGATCGGGAGGAGCAGAGAAAAGCCAGGCTCTAATCAGCTTAAGCCCCTTAATGAGAGACTAATGGGGCCGTCTAGACAGGAAGCTGGCAGGGGGTGGAGGGGGGGGCTGAGGGTCCTGGGTGTGGCTGGAGGCCTGCTGCACACTCTGGCGGGCTTCAGATGTCCCTGCCACCTGACACAGCCCCCTGGGGCTCGGCCCACCCTGGGGCTGGCAGCTGTGTGTGGGGAGCCAGATGGGATGACACCCCCCCTCCCCCGGCATTTCCCTCCCTTTTGGATGGGGCCCCATCTGACCCTGGAAATCTGACCTGACCCTGGCCTGCCCACTGAGAGACAAGGTGAAGCCACGGACGGTTCCAGATGGCAGTGTCTGCCTCAGTTTCCTTATCTGTCACACAGGGCCAGGGACTAATACAGGCCCACGGCTGAGCACGCAGCCCCCCAAACCCAGCCCACGGCTGTCGGATCCACTGAGGCCCTACAGGGCAGGGCAGTCCCCAGGCTTCTTGAGGCTGGGAGTCTTCACAGGAGCAGCCCCCACCCCACCCCAATCCCACACTGCACTGTCTGAGATTGGTCTCTGAAAGGGCCCCCTCGGCTTGCTCGCCGCTGGGGGGACCTGCAGCAGTGACCGCCCTGCGCTGGGTACGGCCGCCGGAGAGTCCTGGCCACCAGACGAATGACAAAGGGCAGGGGTCACTTCTGAGGATGCTTCCTCAAGGACAGCGAACGCCCAGACCAGACGCTGTCTGTCTGTCCTGCTGGGAGCCCTGGCAGCCATGATGGGCCATGCGGTGGGCATGAAGCAGGCTCGGTGGGGCCGATGGCACCAGCCCCGGCACTCCAGGGCGAAGGCAGTGCACCCACGTGGCAGCGCTGTGCTCTGCCCTTCAGGGTGCTGTTTGTCGTTCTGTGGCGGGGAGACGGGGCTGTCTGCACCCGGAACGAGCTAACAATCCCTGACACACGTGGGGGCAGCTCCAGAGCGGCCTCTCGGGTCTGTGGGTCAGTGAGTTCTTCTTTTCTCCGGGCGCAACACACAGATACACATACACACATGCAGACACACTGGACACCACACACATATTCCCTCTCTGAGTCCTCACTAAAGTGGGGTGGTTGTTACCAACACACGGACACACACACAGACAGACAGACACCCCATTTGGAGATGAGGGCAGGGTGGCTCAGAGGAGTCAGTCACCTGTCTGAGGTCACACAGCACGAGCAGGGAGCGCCCGTCTCCGGAACCTGGAGGCTGGGTCACTCCCTTCTCAGGCGCCCCATGGGCGAGGCCCGTGGTATAAAAACCCCAAACACCAAACTCACGGCCATGGAGTTGATTGACGCACAAGGACCCTACAGGACAGGGCAGAGCTGCCCCTGCGAGTGAGTGTCTGAGGCTGTAACTCTTTACTGGACTAGGAAGCTGTCGTTTCCCCGCGGGAGCAGCGGGTCGGGATGTCACACTGCTGACTTCGAAGGCGCAGTCTGGGGGCGCACACCCAGACACTGCTGAGACAGCCTGTGTTCTGTCGGGTCTTCCTTGAATGAGGACGCACGGACTGGACCGCCGCGCTCCAATCTGCACCCGACGATGAGGACAGCCCAGCACCAGGAGGTCCTGCATTAGGGTGGACTTGGGACCGCTAGCAACAACTACGTCCACGACCAGGTCAGGCCTTGGGGTGCAGGGACTGCTGGGATAAGACTCACCCCAGGTGGGTCTGGGCACTAAAGCAGGAGTGGACCTCCCACTGCCATCCCGGGAAAAGAGCCAAGACCACCTCGGGCCCCTTGGACCCAGGGACACCCTGGAGCTGACAGAGGCCCGCAGGAGCAGGGGAGTGGCAGAGCCAGGCCCCAGGCGGGGGGGTGTGTGTGTGTGTGTGGGGGGTGGGTCCGGAGAGCTCAGGTTGCTGGCCTGCAGAGCGAGAGCTTTGACCTGAGGTTTATGGCGGAGTGGTGTGCCCTTTGGGGTTTGATTGGCAGCTCTGAATGGGTTCTGTAAACTTGCCCGAGCAGAGCAGGGGTCTCATAGCTGAAAGGGTGAGGACCAGAGAGAGGTCAGCCTGCAGGGATGTCTGGGGTGAGGCTTCCTTGACGGCAGAACTGTGCCTCACTCTTGTTAACCTGCAACTCCGCTCATTCAGCCCATGACCTTAGGGTGTGGTCACTGCCATGAATGGTGGCCCCCTGCTGAGAAGGAGGAGAGCGTGTGTCACGGGAGGGCGGAGGGGGCCAGGACAAAAGAGGGTGGCGGCATGTCTGAGCCCCACCTCCTGGGCACGTCCACTTTGTTTCTCCTTCCCCCAGAGAAGGTGGGGTGCCACCCCCTCAGGCAGTTAGTTTTTCACGGGCCTGTTTTAACAGAGGGGGGATGTCCCCACACTGACCCT